TTAAATAATTCAGAAATGCATAAGTAATGCAATAAATATGGAACTCTTCACCTTAAGAAGACCTACAATGCCAGCCAGGCACTGTAGCCTAGCACTTGGGCGAAGAGGTGGAAGGTTCGTCTGAAATGGAACGGAGGGTCACAGCATCAGGGTAGCTGACCACATCGAGTGAACAGAAGCAGCTGGTAGAGATCTGAGCTGTGTGCTTACATAATGGCATTTGGATGGATTCTACCAGGCATGGTTTTCTTGGGAGTGGGGGTGGACAGGGTTTCTCTGTAGCTTTGAAGCCTGTCCTGGAACTCCACTCTATAGGCCAGCCTCAAACTCACAGATGTGTGCCCATCTCTGCCTGCTGAGAGCTGGGATTAAAGGCGTGTGCCACCACTTATGGCCAGGCATGGTTTTCTTTATTCACCAAATATTTCTCAGGGAAAATAATAACATATATGAATGCAAAATTTATATTTTCCCAGGTTAGTACACTGTACTAATTTATTCATTTATTTTCTAGATATTAAGTGGTTTTTTTTATTTTAATTCTGTAGATACCAACTGGTTCTACTAAGCACAGCTGAAGAAAGGAGAAAAGTGAGAAGTGACTTACAGCATCTTTTAGAGATGGTTGCTACACATGTAGCGTCTTTGGAAGTAAGTGTGAAACTCTCTCTGAATTCTAGCTGCTTTGTTTCTGTAGGAACTGAATAACAAATTTTCCTTTTTTTCTTTAATTATTTGAAAAAAATACTATCTTTTAACATTTTACATACCAATCCCAGTTCCCACTGCCTCTTCTCCTCCTGCACCCTCCAACATCCTCCCACCCCATTCCTCATCCACTCCTCAGAGAATGTAAGGCTTCCCATGGGAAGTCAACAAAGTCTAGCACATTGCTTTGAGGCAGGACCACTGCTCTTCCCACCACCTAGGCTGAGCAAAGTATCCCTACATAGAGAATGGGTTCTAGAAAGCCAGTGCAAGCAGTAGAGATGAATTTTGCTCTCACTGCCAGTCGCCCCACAGTCTGCCCCAGTCATACAACTGCTGCCCACGTTCAGTGGGCCTAGCTCCCCATGCTGAAAGATTGGTGTCTCTTATCTTAGGACCAAGGCATATTTCTTTGTCTGGCTCTGATTCTAGGTGCAGTTTGTGTTTCTTTGACACTAGTTTCAGAGGCAGAGCACGGGTCTTTAGTCTTGGGTTCAGGAATAGAGATGTTTCTTTCCCTGGACCAGGTCTCCAATCCAAGGTGGCTCTGGGTTCAGAGTCAGGGTGCACAGTGATTGGTTGGTTTCCTATTCCAGTTTTCCCTTTTACCCTACATTACCCTTTTCATTTGTTAATAAATAGCAGGGGGATTAGAAAGGGGGTGATCCTTTTCATGAGACCACTTCCTGCTGAATTGGGGCATTGAAGTTCTCGGGACAATCTTGATCTTCATCCCCAGGATGTCGTTGGTGATGTTAACTTGTGTGTTTTTTTCTTATATAGGTTATACCTATTATTCTTAGATTTGATCTTTTCATGGTGTCCAGATTTCCTGGATATTTTGTGTTAAGAATTTTTGGATTTAACATTTTATTTTCCCCCTGTTGTATCTTCAACGCCTGAGATTTTTCTCTTCCATTTCTTGCATTTTGTTGGTTATGCTAACATCTGTAGCTTCTGTTCATTTACCCAGGTTTTCCATTTTCAGAATTCCCATGGTTTGTATTTTCTTTATTGTCTCTATTTCATTTCTCAAGTCTTGAACTGTTTGCTTCACTTGTTTATTTTTTGTTGGTGCTTTTGGATTTCTTTAAGAGATTTATTAATTTCTTTCAATTTTTTCTTTGTTTTTTACTCTATTTCTTTAAGGGAATTTTTCGTTTTCCTCTTTAAGGTTCTCTATCATCTTCATAAAGTTACATTTAAGGTTTTTTTTTCCTGCTGCTTCTGAGTTAGGATGATCAGGTCTTCCTGTTGTATGACCACTGGGTTCTGGTGCTACCATGTTGCTTTTTAGATTGCTGAATAAATTCTGGCATTGGAGCCTACCCATCTCTTCTTCTCTAATTGGTGCCAGCAGTGTCTTTGTGTCTTGGTCCACTCCTGTGTCGGTGTCTCAGGGATCCTCTCTTAGACCAATTGTTGCAGTTACTGTCAGTGTCTTAGGGAACCACTCTTGGTCTGCTCTGTGCAGTTGCTGTCTGTCTCTTAGAGAGCCGCTAAGGTCTCCGGGGATGGTTGGGTATAGGGCTGGAGTGGAACTTGTAGGTTACAGGGTCTGATCGATGCAGGGGATGTTAGAGCAGCCTATCTGCAGATGGCTTGCCTGTTGGCTGGCTAGTGAAGCTGAGGCAGGTAGAGAGCTTTGGGTGTTTGCGCCATGCCAGGACCTGTCCCGCTGGGGAGCTGGTCACTCACATCTTGGTCCACTCTGTGCAGTTGCAGTCTGTGAACCAGAGTTCATCTGTGGTCATGGTGACAAATTTTATTTTGATGGAAACTAGTGATTTATTAAAAGAATCTTGTCTACTGGTGGGGCAAGGTTACAGGAGATCACTTTTATACTTTATAACGTAGTGTTTTGTTCATGTGCATAACCTACAAACACATACATCACACTCAGCAGGGAGGGGCTGTGTGGAAGTAAGTTAGGCACGATATTCATGCCTTTAATCCCAGCATTTAGGAAGCTGAGGCAATACGATTGCTATTAGTTCATACCTGGCCATTGTCTAAGATTGCAAAAGTAAGCTGGGCAGTGGTGGTCCACGCCTTTAATCTCACACTCAGGAGGAAAGGTACACACCTTCAATCCCAGCACTCAGGAGGAAGACGGGTGGAATCTCTGAGTTCCAGCAGAGCCAAGGGTACACAGAAAGAACCCCTTTCTCAAAAATCATAAAAGGTCCCAAAGTAGATGTATGAGCACAGAAACGAAATTGGTATGTGAGAAGGGAGCACTGTAGAAGACCGAAGGTAACAAACTACTATCTGTTGGTGTTGGATCCTGCCTTCCACAGAACTCAAGTCCAGATGGACTATGTACCTAATGTGGGGCTAGATTATAAGACTACCTTTACAACTCATGGGCTTATAAAATGCTATTAAATAAGATAGAAAAAGGAAGTTTGGTGAGACAGGGTTTTTCTGTGTATCCTTGACTATCCTGGAACTCTCTCTGTAGACCAGGCTGGCCTCAAACTAGAGACCCTCTTCTCTCTGCCTCCTGAGCACCAAGATCAAAGGCATGCACAACCACATAGCCACTACCTGGAACCAAAAATACCTATTTTTTTATTTTGTGTGTGGGGAGTTCAAGACAGGGTTTCTCTGTACTTTGGAGCCTGTCCTGGAACTAGCTCTTATAGACCAGGCTGGCCTCAAACTCATAGAGATCCACCTTTAATCCGAGTGCTGGGATTAAAGGTGTTTGCCACCACTGCCCGATTTAAAATTAAGGACTTCTTACCCATCATGGTAACACATTCTGTAATGCCAGTACTTGGAATGTCTAGATCCTTATCTTAAGGCTAGATCTAGTGAATGGCAAATGATTATATCCTAGTACCACATAGGCCCAGCCAGAGGAATCACAGGTTTGACACCAGGCTGAATCACAGAGGGGAGACACTGTCTCAAAAAAAAAGTAAAATCAGCCGAGCAGGGGTGGTGCATGCCTTTAATCCCAGCACTCAGGAAGCAGAGGCAGGTGGATCTCTGGGGGAATAAAAATTATGACTACAATCTAGCAATGTATGAATAGAACCATAGCTATATGCATCAGTATGAGTGACCTGTAGCAGACCAAGCAAGCCTGGAACATGATGGCTTTACATGTCTGTAATCCTAACCCTCTAGAACTGGAAGCAAGAAGACTGGAGACTGAGGCAGCAAGATTACCATGATTCCAAGCCACCCTGAGTTAGAGTGATAATTTATCTTCAAATAACAAAAACAAAAAATGCAAGCAAAAATTTCGTACATTACATTAATAAAATTTAAAACCAAGTCCCAGTATACTTATATGTTGCATAATAAACAGGTTACATTCGAAGATATTTGTCAAGGCAACACCTGGGTTGGTTGTAAACAATATAATGTCCTTATACAAACCCAGGTTGTGTTAGAGATTGTATTATCATGAGACTGATCTCAGTATGTGCTGTCTATTCACAGAAACTTCTGCACAAATGACTGCATGTCATAAATGCACATATCTCTGAGAAGATTAGAGATAATAAAAAGCTTATCACTTAGGTTATCACTGGGGAAAGAAGGGAATATCGTTCAGAAAATAGAATGTGCTGGTCGGTGATGGAGCAAGATTTTAATCCCAGCATTCGGGAGGCAGAGGCAGTGGAATCCATTTGAATTTGAGGTTAGCCTGGTCTACAGAGGGAGTTCGAGGACACCTAGAACTACACAATGAAACTTTGTCTCAAGAAGAAAAAATGAAAGAAAAAAATGAGAGAAAAACAAAATAGAATTCATGTGAATATAAGAACATTTTTTCTTTTGAGGTGACATTTTTTTGGCAGCCGAGACATGTTAAACTGTGATACTCCTGTCTCAGCCTCTCATGTGCTGAGTTTACAGTCATCTACTATTGCATCCACCTGATACTTTTCTTAATTTACAAATGTCATTCTTGTATGTAAATGTCATACTTGAAACAAAATTCATGTCTGTGTATTAAGAGTTGTGAATTGTTTCCACTAGAAACACCTTGAAGAACAGATTGCAAAAGCAGATGGAGACTATGAAGGATGCATGTCTGAAGACCTCTTGGAAAATATCAAAGAGATTGTCGAGAAGTACAAGAGTAGTGCTGCTCTATTTAAGACTCCGAGTGAATGAAGATAAATTGACGGTGGCTTTCTTGTATCTGCCATATATTAACTAAAAACATTTATATTTTTAAATTGTGGTAACTTAGTAGATTAGCTTGTTAAGTGTAACAGACAGATAATAAAGTACATTAATAAAGTGTGGGATTTCCCTCCATTTCTGTGACTCACTTCTGATGAAAGTACATGGTAAGGGCTAAACTGAAAGTTAGTAGACTACAGTGTGAACTAAGTAAGACACACCCATTCACTGACTTTCTGCAAGTGATTGCCCATGGTGATCTCATTAAACAATTTAAAGACACCACTTGGCCTGCAGAGCCACACATATTGACTTTCAGGTCCTTGTGACTTTTCCTCAGAGGGTGCGAAGAAACATCTGTTCACCCTTCCTTCACCCACATGAAAAAGGTAACAACAAACCAAAGAAAGGATTCCATCCCAATCCAGGTAGTGAATCAGTGAGTTCATTGGGGTCACTTGTAGGATCGCAAATGACTCAAGGCAGCTACAGCACCAGGAACCCCCTGGACAGCATACCAGCACTTAGACCATGAAGAGTGCCACCAGCAGCATGGGCAACTCACAAACACCTTTACCACTGAAGAGCTGTGGGCAGCTGAAGGGAGGCTACACTACCCCAACGTTCCCCCACTCCAGTCAATTATGTACGTCTTATAGATCCTCAGGGCAGGGGTCCCCAAGCTCCCTAAGCTCCCTATTCCATCCATGAGGAAATGTCAATTAAAAGACAGTCATCTTCAGATAGAACTAAATGAATACAGTTTAGAGGTAGTTTTAACACTCAGGAGAATGGGACAGTGATGAGGAAAACTCTGCCTGTTCAAGTCAAGCAGAACCAATGTATGGGGCACCACGCTGGCCTTAGAGTCAGAAACAAGTCCCATGCAAACCCTGTGGAGAGGACTACTCCCTGAGAGCGGTGGGGTTACTGTTGCTCCTGAGAGCTCCCTGAGCACTAAAGCAGCACTGACTGAGATCAACTGGGCACTCAGTACCAAGCAGGCTCCATGAGGTGTCTTCCAGCCTCATGGAGCCAGGACTTGAATTTTCAACAGGCTGTCCTGTCTGTGAGAAAGGGAAACAGTGAAAATGGTCTGGAAAAACATGAGCTGTTGAACTATTTCTAGACATAAAGTATGGGCAGTTAAAACCTTAAAACTGTGTTGTTAATAAACTGAAATCGAGAGGAAAATCCATAGATTTGGAATTCATTTTCTTTAGATGATCTAGTGTAACTGCTTAGTAGTGCTGCGGTAGGCTAGTGCTACCTACAGTGCATGTCTAGCATGTCATAGCCTTTGGATTTCATCCCAGAACCCAGAGCTACAAGTTCAGCTAGGCATGGTACCCAACACATGTAATCTCCTGCACGCACATTCAGAATGCTGAGGAGCAAGGATTTTGAGGTCAGACCAGGCTGAGCTAAATAACAAGCTAAGGACCTCTGTGTCTCAAAAAAAAACCAGAAAAAAATTTAATAATAAAATATTTTTAAATTACTAAAGTAATTTTTGAGACAAAGTCTCTAGCCCAGGCTGGTCTCAAACTCCATGTGTATGTGAAGGAGACCTTGATCTTCTGACCCTCTGCCTTCTACTTCCAAAGCATGAGATTACAATTTGTCTCCTGGTCTGGATTATGCGCTATGGAGAACAAACTCAACTCCTCTTGTTTGCTAGGCAAGAAAAATTATCACCAACTTCTGAAAAGCAAAACTTAGTTAGGAAAGAAAGAAGGTGGACGGTAGTACATACCTGTAATCCATCCTTTGGGCATTTGAGAGAAGAGGACCGTGAGACCCTGTCAAAACTAAAGAGTAAAGAGAGACACTCAGATGGATTTGGCCTTCCTTGGCAGTAAAGTGTCAGCTCTAGTTATCTGGGCTTAAGGACTGCTTGATCTACAAGCACAGAGTTCTACATGCACAGCTAAAGAAATAGAAATGAACCCATGACGATGACATCTACTGGCTGTACTGGCCTTCTAGAATGCTGAAACAGATTCTAAAGCTGCAACCAAAATGCCAGCCTCAAGAACTCTGAAAGGACAGAACACTGTCCTGTACTATGCATCCCATTTGTGAAATCAGAGATTTTTCTATGGCACTGTGTCCCAGTGAAAGGATGCCTGTCAGTGGAATCCAAGAGTAGAACCAAGAGCCAGTCTTGGTTTGGCATAGATTTCAGCAACTAAGAATTTGGTGCTTTCTACCCCCAAATTTACTTAGAGGTCATGTGCTGTGGGACAACCTTCCTGTATGCTGTGAGTATGTTTTATTCCCATTGGTTAATAAAGAAGTTGCCTTGTTCTATAGCAAGACCGAATAATGCTACACAGGAAAGCCAAACTGAAAATACAAGGAAGAAGGATGAAGTGTGGGAGATGCCACCGAGCTGCCAAAGCAGCAAGGTGTCCTAGACCACAGGTAAAGCCACGAGATATATGCCAATGCATAGAGAAATAGAAATTTGAGAGTAGGAACTAGTTAGCAATAAGCCTGAGAAACAGGCCAAGTAGTTTACAATTTATCTGACTTCTCCAAGTGGTTATTTAGAAGCAGGACAGAGAATCCTCCAACCATAATTCTCTTTCCAGGGTGGGTTTTTCTCATCTACAGATAGAGTGAGAGTACTCTGTACTTGGGAAACAACAGGATAGAGGACCCACCATCGTAGCAGAGATAAATGACCCTTCTCAGCAAGGAGCTAGACAGGCCTTTATATGTGTCCTTGCTGAGGGGTGACTGGTAGATGTTTTGCATTTTCCCATTAATAACAACTTTTGTGATGACTCACATTCTAGATGTTTTAAAAGAACCAATTTTTTTTACTGTATTATTGATTGTTAAATTATATTTAGTGACTTTCAGGCATCTAGAACCTTGATTGTGACTGTTTTTTTAAAATACTTTCATATGATAACTTTCTCATACTCAAACCTATGGGACACAATGAAAGCAGTTCTAAGAGGAAAGTTCATAGCACTAAGTGCCCAATTAAAGAAAACGGAGAAAGCATATATTGGAGACTTAACAGCACACCTAAAAACTCTGGAAAAAAAGAAGCAGACTCTCCTAGGAGGAGTAGAAGATTGGAAATAATCAAACTGAGGTCTGAAATCAACAAAATAGAAACACAGAAAACAATCCAAAAAATCAACGAAACAAAAAGTTGGTTCTTGGAGAAAATCAACAAGATTGACAAACCCCTAGCCAAATTAATCAAACGGCAGAGAGAGAACACTCAAATTAATAAGATCAGAAATGAAAAGGGGGACATAACAACAGACACAGTGGAAATTCAGAGAATCATTAGATCTTACTATGAGAGTTTATATGCCACAAAGTTGGAAAATGTACAAGAAATGGATTGGTTTTTAGATAAATACCATTTACCAAAGTTAAATCAAGAGCAAGTGAACAATCTAAATAGACCTGTTAGTCG